TATAAACTCTTAATACGTTTATTTAAAAGACAAGGATTAAAAATAAGGGAGTTCATTGTTTAATTTGCAAAGCTATAAAAGGACAACAGAGTAAACTAATGAAAATATAGAAAGGAAAAAAATACACAGAAATCTCCTAGAACAGTCGGGCACACGGCAGAACATGAGAGAACAGTGCCTCAGACTGTATCTGACACAGGGTAGGGGGTCATTGAATACATGTTGAAGGAAAGAATGAAATTGACTACAAGCCATAGAGAGGATGGCCTCTGGAAAGACTAATGAATTAAAAGAGAGAAAGGGCCTACTCAGGAACGATAAGGACTGTAATCAGAAATATAGGGGAATAGGTAATCTGCAGTATATTTATAAAACAGAGTCCTATGTGTCTTTACTGCACCAAAGTTGACTTCACTAAATGTTTCATGATTTGGTTTTGGAACCTGAACCTAATTAATAATGTTCTAATTGTTATTTTCTAAGGATTAGCATTAACTTCTATTTCAGAATCATAATCCCTAGACTGATAGATAAAAGGAAGAGGCAGCATATACCTGTGTGTGTGTGGATATGTTGAAAGTTGTAGGATACGTAATCTATGAGTAAATGTTTGGTAAGGAAAGTCAGGGTATGTATTTTTTGTTTTGCTTTGTTTCTTTTTCCTTGGGAATTGAAAGAGGTTGGTTATCACTGTATTTTATAAAAATGATCAGGTTTGGAGTGTTTGTTTTCAGGACCTTCACAGATAGAGCCATGTCTTGTTTTGCCACAGCCCTGGTAAGATCAGCATTTGTAGCTCTGCTCTTCCTGTAAAATCTTGAGCATTTTCCTTTTGTGAGTCCTTCCTTCTACAGAAAGGTCATCTCTGATGTGGTGGCATGAGTCCAAGATAAACTTATACTAAACCATTGAAATAGAAAACTATTACCCCTGTGCTGGGGATGTGGAAAGCCTTGAAAAGAACCCAAGCAGAAATGATATAGCAGCAAACCACAGTCAACCTTGTGAAGTAATGAACAAAACAGGCCTTAAAGAAAGCATATCACTTTCAGAAAAGTTTCCACTGATCAAAATAATGGGCAAAAGAAGATCAGAGGAAACCACAAATAAAGAAACGAAGATCCATGAAAAAGCATGTCAGAAACCTTACCAGGAAAAGGGATAGTGGGGATATTGCTCATTATAACCTTCCTGGACTAGGTTATAGATATATATATGTTACATAGGCTGGCTGTATGGTGTGGTCTTGATGCCAGTGGAATTCCTAACCAACCATTTGATTGGCTTATATTCTCTAAATAGAGACTTGTACTAGAAGAAATTTTTCAAAATAATGGTAGTAGTAATCATATAAGATGAAATACAGGCATTTCATCTTATAAGGATATTTGTTTTTAATACATCATTGAACAATTTCTTTGAAAGGCTCAGGAGAGCTGTTCTGTCCGTGTAGGAATAACGCTCATGTGAGGCGCTTTCTCAGACTTCAGAAAAATGATAGAGGCAAGAGGAGTAGACAGATGTGAAGCAAGTGAGTCAAATTAAGGGTTAGGAAGTGTACATTTAATACTTAAGGAAACTCTTTAGCTTCCAGCTGTGAACATGTCCCAAGGACATGTTTTCCCTTTACTGAGAGGAGCATGTCACTATTCATTGAATTTTTCTAATTCTTTGTTGCTACTGTATGTGGTCACTTTTCTCATTATAGTTTTTAAGTGGCTAAATTAATCAGGCAGCCTGCTCTTAAGCAGTTTTGTTTTTATTTTATTTCTTTATTTTTTGAGACGGGAGTTTCACTCTTGTTGTCCAGGCTGGAGTGCAATGGCGATCTCAGCTCACTGCAAACTCCGCCTCCTGGGTTCATGCGATTCTCCTGCCTCAGCCTTCCAAGTAGCTGGTTTCACAGGCATGAGCCACCACGTCTGGCTAATTTTGTATTTTTAGTAGAGATGGCGTTTCACCATCTTGGTCAGTCTGGTCTCGAACTCCTGACCTCAGGTTCGCCTGCCCCAGCCTCCCAAGGTGCTAGAATTGTAGGCGTGAGCCACCACACCTGGCTTAAGCAGTTTTTAGTAATCATTGGCAGTTTGTCCTCAGAGAAAAGCCTGAGTAAGACCATCACCACAGCTGAGATTGTAGTAAGCCCCTTACTCTCAACCTTTCACTACATCAAGCACCTTCCCATCTCCTAGACAGTTGCACCATTTCCAAGAAGAGCAATCAAGGACTAGGTATCACATCTATCACTCTTCTCATGGTTGAACTCTAACTTTTGTATAATGTGAAGTTAATGACACCTTTGTTCGTCCTATCTTTTCAATGTTTCTCACTCTCAGACTCTTGATACTTCTATAAATCCAGTTTTTCTAACTTCATCTTTAGCGACTTCTTTGTATTCTGGTATACTATGACCAGAGAACATCAGATAATGGAACTGTATCAAACACATATTTAACTTTATACATTCAGCTATTCAGAGAGAAATAGATTATAATTTTCATAAAGTAGCTGATTCCAGCTGATTTTACACTTAGGATAAGAAGGGAGAAATGTCACTCCAGTCAGTCTGTTGCAGTTCCCATAGGCCTTTCTTACAGAGCATCTGTTACTCTCATGTTTAAAGACACATATTTTAGGCCAGGTGCAGTCACTTATACCTATAGTCCCTGCCCTTTGGGAGGCAAAGGCAGGTGGACCACTTGAGCCCAGGAGTTTGAGACCAGCCTGGTCAACATGGTAAAACTCTGTCTTCACAAAAAATACAAAAATTAGCTGGACGTGGTGGTACACACCTGTAGTCCCAGCTACCTGGGAGGCTGAGGTAGGAGGATCACCTGAGCCCGGGGAGTTGAGGCTGCAGTGAGCTGTGACTATGTCACTGCACCCTAGCCTGGGTGACAGAGTAAGACTCTGTCTCAAAAAAATAAAAATACATAGTTTCTACAACATGGTCCCATAATGCAAGCCTACTTTTCTAAATACAACTTACTTCATTTGGTGCACAGTTGAACAAATCATTCTGACACTGGCAGAAAAGTACATATTAGGTTTATTAAGAGGCAACCTGTCAATCTCAAATGTGACCTGTCTTCCTAAGGGATCTTAAGAATAATTTTTACTGTGAGACTTTTGTCTTATAGGTTGCCAATTAATTACCTTGTAACTTTAATAGCAAATTGCTGTTAACTTCCAGGTTCAGAATGCCTATGTCCATTCTTTTGTACTTTAGCACTAATATTTCATACTGCTACTGGAGTCAGTGAGTCATTCAATTTGATATTTCTGTATGTAGATAGACTTACAGTGAATGCAGAGAGTGTTAAGCAATATTCCTAAGTAAACATGGCAATACTAATGAGAGTTAATGTATATTTAGTCCATAATATAACACCAGTCACTGTGTTTAGATGTGCTTTATATTCACCATCTTGCTTTGTCTTCAGAAGCCTGTAAGGTAGGACCTGTTATTCAGTTGTTAAACCCTAGTAACTGACTTAAGGACAACCAAGGGAACATATACGTACTTCCTGACTTAAAAAACACAGGTATTCCCAGGAAAGCAGCAAAGAATCAGGGGCAAGTGCAAATTAACATGCAGGCTCTTGACAAGCTGTGTTTCCAAAGTTCTCATTTAGGGGAAGGTTGTCCAAAAGTTGGAATATATTTTCCCAAGGAAATGATGTTATCACAACAAAAGCATATTTACCCATAATGTGCCTAAAGTAGTAATAACAGACCTAAACTGTTTTGTGCACCAGTGTTTCCATGGAAAAATTCACTCAAGAGTTTCCCCTTGGATTGCTGTAGACACATTTCTACATCACAGGGAGAATGGGGACTCTATGCTAGAAACAGTAGAATCATTAGAAATGTTCAAATTCTGAATCAGTGGTGGCTTCCAGGGCCTTTGATGGGAGAGGATGAGAGGGAGGAGGATGGAAGAGTGAAACTGGGCACGAGGGGCCAGAGGGTCAGAAGATTTTGGGTAAGAAACAGGATAAAGCCTGACAAGGTGAAGGGTGGGTCCAGAGAGGAGAGGGAAAAGTTTTGAGGCTTTTAGAGACCCAGAATTCATTGAGTCTAACCCTCCCGTCCCCTGGACTCTTCTCATCCCTCAGGTAGTTTTCTGTTACTCTCAACCAGTTTCTTCTACTGACCCAAAGATTTTGCCTACCTCTTCCCTTTTTTTTTTTTTTTTTTTTTTTAAAACCACTAATACTTTGTGAAACTGAGACCAGCCCAGGGCCTTGCTCCACTCAGCTGTTCCTAAAGCGAGCACAGTGGCTCTAATGGTTTTTAACTTCTGTAAAGGAAAGAGCTTATCTTAGGCCCTCCAGAACTTTCACATGGACATGAAAGAGCAAATATCAGCTACAGATGCTTTGGGAGAATTTTTGGGTCCCATAAGGGGCTGAAATAAAATGCATGAGGATTTCAGAGGTGGCTCTCCAGGCTGAGGCTGATGGGAAAAGGCTGTTTGTTCCTTTCTCTCCTGCCTCTGTGGCTCCCTTGTCCTCAAAATGAAAGTGGAAAGGAGGAGGTAGGGCCCAGATTGCTTGCCAGAGGGGAAGGGCTATGAGACATTCTGATCCTTGCACCAATGCCGGGCTTGATCTTCTCAAGCGACATGTCTCTTTCAGGGTTGTAGGAACTATGTGAATACCTCAGGCTCCACCCGACTCTCCAGGTGTACCTCACACCACCTTCCTCTTTACCCACTAGCCAGTGAAGATGGGAATCACCTGGGTACCTGTCCCCAGGCCCACCTGGAAAGCTGTGTGATGAACAAGTGACCCCAGGTTATTCCTGTCAAAGATGTTCGGCAAACACTGGCTGACTATTCCCACCCCATCCCATCCCGTTTGCTGGTCTTTAAAGGTTCCAAGGGCATTCCAAAGCCTTGAAGGAAGCAAGGGCATGATCCACAGGAGAGGAAGCACCAAGAGCAAGAAGCGAAGCTGTCAGAGGGCATGTGCCTGACCTCGCCTTTCCACCTGCAGGTCTGACCAAGCTCCCTTGTGTTTCAGAGGGTCCTCCGCAGAAGGGCAGCAGAATGGACTCCAAAGCAGCCTTAACCCTGCAGCCTTTGTGCCCATCACCAGCTCCACAGGTTAGTGGGCACCAGCTCTTCTGCAGCTGGATAGATCACAGAGAAGGTGTTAGGCTTGGCTCATTCTCTCTTCTGCCTCCAAAGATAAAAGAGTGAAATATCCAGCCTCTTAAAACGTTGGTAAATGGGCATTTTTGTTACATTCTTCTTTAGAATAATTTTGGCAGCCTAAAATAGAATAGTCATTTTCCAGAAATAGTTGGGGGTAAATGAAACCTCCCAGTCTTATAAAATGCTATCAGATTTGCAGCATTTGGTAAAAATGCCCCATATTGATTGGTATTTCACTGTTTATATTGTATTTCCACATTATATCTCTCACTTAATTCTCACACAGCCCTGTAAGGTTTATCTTCTTATCCCTTCCACATGAGGAAACAGGCTCAGAAAATTGAGGGCTTGTCGAAGGTTATGCATGGATGCAGAGCTGGTGCTCTGGCCTTTGATCTAGGTGTTGTGCTCATATCATTGTCTGTGGACAGGTTGTTACTGAGAGCCTGAAGCCTCTCAATGTAGGTGCATACAGATATGCTAGGCAGTGTTGGTCCAGAGATAGTTTTCTATGAATAATTAATAAAAATGCACTGATAAGTCAGAAAATTCAAAGAAAATCACTTAGATTCAATTTAACAAATATTTATTATTGAGTACCTACTATGGAGAAAATAACATGCTGGGCACTGAGATACACACAGGGTAAACAAGACAGTCCGCTCTCAGGGAACTTAGACTCAAGGAGATAGAAAAGTCAGCAGGGAATGTGCTGCAAAGTGGGTATTACTGTATGCCTGAGACACATAGAATTAACAGTAGACAACACTGAGCATTAGCTATGTGTCACGCACACTTCTGAATGCTTTACACGTAAAACTCATTTGTTAACCAAACAGGCACATAATGTAGGAACTATATTCCCCATTTATGGCTGAAGAAATAAAGGGCACAGGCAGATTATAAAACTTGTCTAGGCCAGACGTGATGGCTCACACCTGTAATCCCAGCACTTTGGGAGGCCGAGATGGGAGGATCACAAGGTAAGGAGTTTCACCACCATGGTGAAACCCCATCTCTACTTAAAAAAATACAATAAAAATTAGCCGGGCATGGTGGCGTGTGCCTGTAATCCCAGCAACTCGGGAGGCTAAGCCGGGAGAATTGCCTGAACCCAGGAAGCAAAGGTTGCGATGAGCCGAGATCGTGCCACTGCACTCCAGCCTGGGCGACAGAACAAGACTCTGTCTCAAAAAAAAAAAAAAAAAAAAAAAAAAAAAAAAAAAACTTGTCTAAAGTCTCACAGCTAGTAAGCAGTCGGGCCCAGATCTTTAGGGACTGGGGACGGCTTCTTAGAGGAATAAACATCTAAGCTGACACTGGAATGTGGACAAGTCAGCCAGGAGAGGGAAGGCACAGGTGGAGTAGGAAGAGGGAACAGTGCAAGCAAAGACCAGGGGGAAATGAGACCATGCTGTGATCCGCAGGCTTCCATGGATCCATGTGGCTGGGCACCGGGACATGAGCAGGGAGTGGAAAGAGAAAAGGTTATGAGTTGGTAAGGCCAGTTTCTGAGCCATGTAGGGAACTTGGTCATTGCCCTGATAGCGATAAGGAGCCATTGAGGAGTTTTAAGCAGGCGGGCTGGGTGGTTAGGGGTCAGGGACTGATGTAATACACCTTAAAATGATTACAAGCTCTCTGAGAAGCTTGGGCCAGGGGCAGTGGCTCATGCCTACAATCCCAGTGCTTTGGGATGGCGAGGCAGGAGGATCTCTTGAGACCAGCCTGGGCAACAAAGTGAGATCCTATCTCTACAAAAAAAAATTTTTTTAATTAGCCAGGTGTGGTGGCACATGCCTGTAGTCCTAGCTACTAAAGAGGCTGACATGGGAGGATCACTTGAGCCCAGGAATTCAAGACTGCAATAAATTGTGGTCCTGCCACTGTACTTCAGCCTGGGTGACAGGGCAAGACCCTACCTCTAATTCAAAAAGAAAAAAAAAAAAGCCTAGTTACGTGACTGCATCGTTGGGATAATTATATGGATCTCTTAGGCTTATAGCGAGGATTAAATGAAGCAATATATAGGCAAGGCACTGTAACTACGCAACCACATCTAGGTCATGTAGTATGATAGGAGTGTAAGGATTTGTTCACCATTGAAAATCCGCATTGAGCCTGAATTCAAGAGATAGTTCATGGGTATCTACTCACCTCATTCCTCCAAAAAAAAAAAGAATTACTAGAACATGGTAGTTATTATATTTTTTAAAAAGTAAACTTTTCCACCTGGGATTATTGTGGACTGCGAAGTAATGGCACAGGGAGTCATGGCCAAGTTAGAAGGATTTCCGTGAGATACCCTGTTGGAACCCCTTCGGCTCTTCAAATCTGCTTCAGCTGGAGAAATTTGCAAACCCCAGGAGATCCCCGACTAGACTTCATTTGTGTGTCTAATTGACAAATTAAGTGTTGAATTGAACTTTGCATGCACTCCAGCTGAGCCAGTTGGAAACTTGGGTGGTCAGGTGGGTCATACTTGTAGCATCTTGACCATGAATTAGTGTTTACAGACTCTTGGTAAAGTTATTTAGAAGATTTTGTGGCACTCACTACTGAACTTGGTGTCAGTGTAAACCACAGAGCAAGGAGAAGTTGTATTTTTCCTGGCTTCTGATAGCGATCTTTCCCTGCTAATTCTACCTTGTGATAACAAGCAGATCGTTCTTACATTGTTTAGGTAGTTTATATTGCTTACTGCTTTTGTCACCAAGTGACTCTGGGCCTCTGAACTCCTTGAGTTTGTTTCTACTCTGATTTTCCTGGTGCTCCTGATCCTTAGTTAAAGAAACACTGAGGAGCATGATAGAGTAAGCTTCAGGCATTTTCCATACTTCCCAATGAACATGTTACCTTCACAGCATTAGTAACTAAATCTGCTACAGTTATTTATACAACTAGTGGGTAACTGCCATGCACACCAACCTTTGAACTGCAGATCATTTGTTTTCTGTGTTACAAGTAGATTTAAAGCAGCTCTATCCTAGGGGTTCAGAAGGATATCCTACAAAGATTAGGTTGCTAATCTTTTTTCTTTAAAAAGTAGCAACATTTTTCTTTAAACCCACAAGAAAGAAGAACAACTTTCATAATAAGTCTAAAAGTTTACACTTCTCCCTGAGACCCAGGAAGTGTGTGCCTATGAAGGAATCCCTGAACTGTCCTTGAAAGGTATTTAGCCCATCTGGTCCAGTTAATTCAATCCATTAAACATGATATTGAGTCTATGACTGTAGCAGAAGTCTGTTTTCTGGTTCCTTAACTCTCCTGTGAGTCTTACCAGCCAGGCTTTCGGCTGTGTGAATGTTTCTCGAGCAGTCTGAAGGAGATGCTGGTTCGTCCCAGGCCACTGTTGGAAAAACAAGTCAGTCTTTTCCTAATGATGGTGGCTAAATGGCATTCTTGGTATTATGAGCATTAAATGAGATAGTGAGTTGAAAGCTCCTAGCAGAGTGCCTGGAGTACTCCATGAATGTGGATTTTCCTTGACTTTCCAACCTCAGGCTTTATATTCATAGTTTGCTATGGAAGGGAAGGTGTAGAGTCAACAAATTTGGAAATTTGAGAAGGAAGCTGGAGTGAGGGCTCTTGGCCTAAAGCCAAATTCATTGGCCTTTCTTCTTTGTACCGGTGGTGTCCTTCTTGAGTTCTAAAGTGGTGATGGTAAACTAAAATAGCAGAGAACAACAGATTAGATAACTGACATTTCTCTCATGCTGATTTGATAATGTAAACTACCATTACTGTGGAAGTCTGAAGCCACAGCAGCTGCCCTCAGCCCTGCCCCTTAGCTTCTGCCTAAGCCTTTCCTGTCCTGAAGCCCAACCTCTCCCTCCTTTTATTTTTAAGCTCTTAATAGTCTGGTAAGGTCCCTTCCACCAATCGCACCTTCAGAGAATCAGTGATGGATTTTATTTGCAAGCGGTAAGCAGTGTCCTTGTTAAATGTTCATTGTTTCTGGCCCTAGTAAAATGCACCATAGCTTTGTGCTCTTTGGATGGGGGTGGGGCAACAGCGCATCATTGTGGCTGTGACTGCCTACTTCATTGGGTACCTGAGACAACAAGAGAAAGGAACATTATTATACATTAAACTCAATGGAGCTAAAACCCTTAGGATCTCGATGTCACTTTAACTTTCAAGTGAAATTACTTGCCTGGCAGCTCTCAGCAGAATGACCTATTTTCATGATCAGATTCTTACTCTTTTTACCATGTGTTGTATAGTTTTTGGAGCTCCTGGGTGGATCTGGAGTATAATCGCATAGAAATAAAAATAAGTAGTGTCCTATACGCCTTAATGCTCCCCAGATTTTCTTTCCAGAGCCAGAGGGGTAAGAGTTTGATGCTTCAGCCCATCACCTGAAGCATGCTTTCTTTATATTGTGAATGCAGTGTAGACAACAGAGGTCCCTTCAGCCACAATCACAAACAAATGTCATCACCAGCCATGACAGTCCTAGAACCTCTTCATATGTGGGCTTAGGAAAGCAGTCAAGTTAGGTTAGAGAATTTGAGTTGTGTTTGTATTACATGTTTTTTAAATGCATGATCACCCATTTTTACTGTTGGGAAGCAAAAGAGAGACTGTGAATTGGTATTTGGCAGGAAGTGGGGTGGTAGCATCTGGGGGAACAGTGATCCCCTTAACCTAGTTTTAGATTTTACCTCGTGTCTTTTGGGCTAAAATCAAAATGTAGTGCTAAGTAGGGATTCTTTTTTCCATTTTCAGGATCTTTGGAAGCTCCCCAAGTTATTTTCGCCAGATCCAAACCCCTGCCCACACAATCTGGAGCCCTTGCCACAGTTATAGGACAGAGAAAATCAAAGTCGGTGAAGGCAGGGCCAATTTAAGGTAACAGTAAGAATAAGAGCATATTTTTATCATTTTCACTTGCTGACTTTATACTACAGCAAGAGACTTAGTAGCTACCAAAAGAAGTTCTA